TCCCGGTCCGGTATGGGCACGACACTGAGGGTTGTGATCCGTTGCCGGTCACGAAAAAAAAGACAAAAAAAGGAAAAAAAAAAAAAGAAAAAGAAAACGACGAAAGCGGCTATGTTCTATTTCCCAGCATGTATTAATAATGGTAATGAGAATGACATTAATGGGGCTGCATTTCATTGCCCCAGTGGCAGCACTGGGACAGTTACTAGGGAATTGCTAGTTTCCATTCTGTTTCTTTTATTCTCAAAAGATCTTTAATTTTTTTTTTTTTGTCTTTTGTCTTTTTCCATGTCCGGCAACGGATCGCAACCCTCAGTGTTGCCCCCGTACCGGACCAGGGACCGGCAATGGGATCGCAACCCTCGGTGCTGCTCCCACGCCTCGCTCAGCCAGTGAGTGGGAACTGGTCCATATGTGGGATCCGAACCCTCAGGCGGGAGCGCCGCCGCGCTTCCCAAGCAGCGCACTATCCAGTGCGCCACCGGCCGGCCCAAAAGATCTTTAATTTTAAAGTATAGGAATGATTGTAATATAAATATTACTTTTACTTAGAGTCTTTTAACTTGCTTTCTTGGAAACAGAACTGCAAAAAGCTATCTGAGAACAGTGCAAACCCACTGCTACGGAAGAACGCCGAGTTTGAAGACCAGGGCTACTACTCCTGTGTGTTTTCCCTTCTTCATAATGGAAAACCATTTAACATCACCAAAACCTTCAATATAACAATAGTTAAAGGTAAGAAAAATCTCAGAATTGGGAAGAAACAAATGTATCTCAGTCAAGCGGAATTTTTTCTTTTTCTAAAGCAGCATAGAAGTCAAGAGGCCACTTTGCTGGGGTTGTGACCACACCACTCGTCTAAACATAAAGGTTAAAATTTCATTTTGGCACCCATCCACCTGGCTGAAAATAATTGGGGGGGGGGGCAGCAAATGAAAGTTTATGTGGGTGAATCTCACATGACTCAGATCTCTAGGTCTTATTTGGAATCTGAGCCAATTGAGAAATCTTTTGCTGTTAAGCTACCATTTTCCATCATGAAGTGTTTATTGAGGACATCCGTATCCAATAAAGTGTACTCAGTACTGGGAGGCAAGGACACAGGGAAACATGAAATAGAGTGAGTAACATGCTATCCTGTGCTGTAACCTGATCACAATCAGGAGAGGCAGTAAGCCCCATAGAGGGACACTTCTGTGAATTGGTGTCATCTTTTGAGGCNCAATTGAGAAATCTTTTGCTGTTAAGCTACCATTTTCCATCATGAAGTGTTTATTGAGGACGTCCGTATCCAATAAAGTGTACTCAGTACTGGGAGGCAAGGACACAGGGAAACATGAAATAGAGTGAGTAACATGCTATCCTGTGCTGTAGTCTGATCACAACCAGGAGAGGCAGTAAGCCCCATAGAGGGACACTTCTGTGAATTGGTGTCATCTTTTGAGGCCTTAAGGGTGAGGTAGGACGTTGGAGGAAGGACAGATGCAGGAGGCTCTGTCCGAGCTGGGTCTTGGAGGAAAAGCATCACCAGTGGGCAGGACGTGCTGGGGAAAGGCCCGGGTGACAGAATAAGGAGCCCCCTGGCAAGGAGGGGATGTGGCTGAGGGTCTGCTGGGTAATGGGAAAGCAGAAGCCTGGGATTTTAGAGTGACGGGACCTTAGAGGTCTTACCCAGTGAAGACGTCCTTCACATGGCACAGGCCATAACTGATCATCCTCTCCCTCCTTGGGAACTACCAGGGAAGTTACCAAATCACACAGCAGCTTAGTCCAGATATTAATATCTGATTGTCAAAAAGCCTTTTTTCCCCATCAAATTCAAATACGCCTTCTTCCAGTTTCCACCCACGGGCTTTTGTTTGCCCTCAGTAACTTCTCAGATGAAGTCTGTTCCTTTCTTAAAATGACAGCTCCTCTCACCGTGTGAAGGTAGGAGGCTTATGCGCCCTGACTTTTTTCCATCCCCCCGGGAGACTGTACGGCCTGTGGGGATGACTCAGTCAGCAACAGCTGCGGGCTACAGCGCCCTGTGTCACCTGTGGCGAGGCACCTGTGTCCTCTTCGTCCCAACCACCCATCTTTGCTT